TGTAGAGATAGGAGGATAATCATCATCGTCATCAAGAAAAGGAAGACTAGGAGGATAAAATTAAATGATGAAAAAAATGCGATGTCGAAGATTATGATGAAATGGAAAACTGAAGATTACAGAAAAAAAAATGACAAAGATTAGAAGAAGGAAATTAAGTTTGCAACGAAGAAAATTATGAAGAATGAAAGACATTTCTGAAAAACGCGGAGAAAAAAGTTATAAAGATTACGCAGAAATAAATTCTTACAAGAAGAATTGTTTGAAATTTTAGGATAAGCTATTATCTTTCATCCCATGATTTATTAGGATTAATATTCTCTTTTTTTTTCTTTTCTTACCTCACGTCCGATGTCTACTTTAAGATTTCTCGGGTGTACAACTGTAAGATTAAAAGCGATAGTTTTGCGTCTGGTTGACAAAGGTTCTTGGAAGCAACGTCAATATTTATTCTTTCATAATTTTTCTTTTTTAGTCACGTAAGAAAAGAAAATAATTGCCTGTCTGACAACCAGGCACAAAACTATCGCTTGTAAGAACTCTTCCCTACTGAATGAATTGTGCAACTGAAAACAATCGAAAAATACATCAGCTTAAAAGTAAAACGAAGAAATATAATATTACTCAGATTGTAGAAGTAAAAAGAACTAATAATAAAAATCGGTAATAAAAGTGTAAAAGAAAAAGGAGAAAGAAAAGAAGTAGAAAAAAAGAGAAGAAAAAAAGAGTCGAAAAAAGAAGAAAAAAGAAAAAAAATTGTAAAAAAAAGAAAAGGCAGAAATAAGAAGAAGAAGAAGAAGAAGAAGAAGAAGAAGAAGAAGAAGAAGAAGAAGAAAGAGTAGAAGTAGTAGAACGAGAACAAGAAGTAGAAGAACAAGCAATTTATGGCTGTTACAATAAAGGAGTGGGTTATGAAATATCACAGAATGAAGTAAAACAGCATGAAGATTCCGTCAAAGAAAATAATATATGAATATTAAGAAAAAAGAAAAAGAAACGCTGAAGATTACAAGAAATTAGAAAAATTGCAGAAGAAAAAGAGGAAAAGGAAGCTATGAATGTTATAAAAAGAGGAAATATATAACGGACTTATGAAGATTAGACTAAAAAAATAGAGGAAAAAAAATGAAGAAAAATATAGCCACAAAGGAAATTAAGAAAATTAGAATAGAAAAATAAAGAAATTGATCATGAAGCCAAAGCAAGATAAAACTGATATTTCTTTTTTTTATTTTTAAATCATAAAAAGCTAAAAGACTTTTGTAACCAACAAAACATTAAAGGAGAAACGGCCATGACTAACCCATTGATGCTTATCATGTCATTGAAGAGTAAAAAGCAGGTGCCACATTATGGATAGATGAGCATTTGACTCGTAATATTCCAAGTTCCTATGATTCAGTTGCATTCTGAACATTTCTGCGTGTCATATGCAATGTTGATTTAATTAGTACTTTATCTACAGTGTAATTCATCACGTGATATATATCCATAAATACACTGCCACATTGGGCTCGCGAAACCAAATGATTACTTCTGGAATGTTTCTCGATAACACGAATAAAAGAAGTACTTTCTGAACCATATTTTGGTATTAGCAGGCGCAGATCTTGGTTTAGAACGCAGTACTGAGTCGCAAAGTACAGAGACATTTTGATGTTATTTGCTAAAGTTCGTCCACGTTGGCAAGTGTAACACTGGGATATAAAAGAAGAATATGATCAGACACAATACTAGCAAAGAGAATAGTTTATCTCGGCGTTCTCCGCCTCCGGCATTAATGGAAGCTGATTCCGCACTTGGTGGCTATCAGGGCACCTTCTAAGTCAACTCTCAGAGGCGCCTAACTCTTTTGGCATTCTAATGTGACACCGAGTACAAAGCTCACATTGGTATCTATTAAAACGAACCCAGTATATACTGCGGTCACTACAGATCAAATCATCATGGATTAAAGGTTCCTACTAGACGGTAAATTCGATTCAGACCTAGTATTTCCTGGCTTGAACACAAACTAACTCAGCCGTAATTTGAATTCGGTTAACTGATTGCAATTTCCATGCTGCTGACGGTTAAGTCAACTCCACACATCCATTTCTTATTATACAAGTAGGTTACTGATTAGTTCTCGGCCTGAGCAATTTTCCGAAACTCTGACCAAATAACCAAACATCCAAATTTATTTTGGAAGAAATTCTTGGTCAGGCTGAGAATTTTTAGCATTCCTTCATACCTGTATAAAGTAGATCACATAAGTAGGTACGTATAGAGTTGTATAAGTGTTATTAGCACGAAAATGCAAATTCTGAATTGAGTTCGATTTCCTGTTGAGTTCATTAAGGCTTGTTTCACATTAAAACAACAAGGTAAATCAATAATTCGCTTGTGTCCTCTTTTGATAAAAATACCTGTTAATGGATTGAAAAAGATAAGTCACTCTTCTAAGTTACCTGGCCAAACAGAAACAGCAAAAAAACTACTGTTAAATATGACACATACACACACATATATATATATATATAAAGAAAAAAATGGGCCACCTCGGCGTGGCGTAATGGTTAGCAAGCTTGTTTTGCTAGAACAATTACCACTGAGTAGTGAGTTCGATCCTCATTGAGTGTCCCATAACTTCGGCCTTGTGCCACATCTAAGCTAGCATTAGAAAATCAATACATAAAGGAAAATGGGCACCTCGGCGTGGTGTAATGGTTAGCAAGCTTGTCTCGCTAGATCAGATGCAACTGAAAAGTGAGTTCGATCCTCACTAGGTGCCCCATACTTTCGGTCTTGTGCCACATATAGGCTACACTTAGAAAATAACTATAAAGAAAAATGTCCCAACACTATAGATTTTTAAAGCATTAAACAAATACTTAACAGTGACTACATACACACATTCCGCCTTGTATTTCATTAGCAACGCGTACATGTAAATATCTAACGCGTCATTATTTGATATGATGCTCTTTCTTACTTTTTAATTCTAAGTTAATGTGCCGGACATGAGTTGGCTGAAAAGATTTCAGTTTAAGAAAAAGAATATAAGGTAAAACGATTCAAGGTTAAAGCTTGGCAACTGTTCTTGTTCTTCTTACTATTATTTATGAAGCAAAAATAATTAGTAAAAAGAAAAATTTCATTATATTAGTTTTAATTGGGCTGAGTTGTAACCACAAAACTCAACAAATGTACGCACTTGGTAGTTGATAAAATATGTTAGCATTAAATTGAAACGAATTTTTTTTTTTTAATTTTCATTTAAGAAATAAGAAATATCAGAAACGGCAACCTTTACTTCCTTCTTTCTTTTTATAAATCTTTTTCTTTTCAAAGTCATCTGAAAATGGGTTAAAATAACCTATATTTCCTCCAATTGGGGTTCTTGTAGAATCACGCTCGTTATCTGCGGAAATTGTATTCCATTCTTAAAAAGGAATCTATCAACGCTGAGAAAAGAGAGTATTTCCCATTTGACTCTCAAATAGAAGACGGGGAGATTTCCTTCCGTGAATATTATGTACCTTCTAATTTTTCACACATGAGAATTAATCGCGAAAATCGAATTAGCGTCCAGACATGAAGTTATTTGGATTATTCAATAAGCCATGATACCGTTTCACCTCCAGACTTTCACAACTTCATTTGTGAAAAATTTGTTGGTGGAAAAACAATCAAAAACTGAATCTCTAAAAATAAAAATAGCGTTGTGATTGGAAGAAATATATTAATTACACAAACGTTTGCTTTTAACCATCAACTCTAAAGATATTTTTCAAACACACAACGGATTAAAATAGCTTATTTTTTTATAAAATAATAGCAGTAATGCTGTACAAACTGAAAAACTATTTACTGCAATATAATCGAAAATCAGTGCAATTGGATATGTGTTTTTTTTTATCATTTCCTCCCAAGCAAGGCAATAAAGCCACTAAGACACATGTGGTTACTGAGTGTGAAAGAATAAGAAAAAGTGAAACATTATTAAGGAGCGAGGACAATAAAAGTCGAGAAATCAAGAAGACAGTAGATAGCAACTGACACTGCATTTAAAATTTTGAAGATCAAAGTTAGTTGGAAAACATGAAACCGGAAGAGAGTTCCACAAGCGGGAAACATAGAACTTACGATTGCATCTAGCCAATTCAACTGTAAATGTATTTATTTGACGCCCCCCACTGTCAGGTTGTGACACAAGGTCGGTTTTTAACTTGGGGACCCGAGTATTTTCACACGGGCCGCTGGTCTAAGCTGGTCTTAGCTGGTCATAGCTTGTCCAAGATGGTCAGAGCTGATCTAAGCTAGTCATAGCTGGTCTTAGCTGATCTAAGCTAGTCATACCTGGTCTTGATTTGTCATAGCTGGTCCAGGCCAGAGCCGGTCCAAGCTAATCATAGCCGTGATACTACCAGCGCAGGGATGGAGCCCTACACCAGGTAAGTATCAAGCCAATTCAACTGTAAATTGATGAGACCTTGTTGCCAATGTAGTACTGCGCTTAAGTTCATATAGTCTAGGCACCATATGTTAAAATTCATCAGAACAATTACCACGAGAGTATTAAAGAAAAGTGTGTTAGAGATAATATTTGTCGGTCTGTTACTTTATATAAAACCTGGAGTTCTCGTTATTGTTAAAGTACAAATATATATATATATATATATATATATATATATATATATATATATATATATATAAAAGTGGCATTGCTTATGAGTATACAATGTGGTTATCGCATCAACACTCTTTTTTCACTTAAATTGTATCTGCTATATGGTAAGTATATGGTAACGAGCTTCAATTTAGCTCAATCGACAGCCATAGTTATTTGGTTGATCTGAAGCAATATCAGTCGTGGCAAAAAATTATTAATATACTTACAAATATATTCACTACATGGTTATTGCAGATTTTAAAAATTCTAAACTGGATGCTTTAAGGAATCTACTCTTTGCTCGTGTAGCGAGTTTCAACAACCAGAAACTTGGAATAGAAGGGCTCCCCGTACGATCACCGAAGTTAAGCAACCTTGAGTCTGGTCACTATCTAGATGGGTAACCGCTTGGGAATACCAGGTGCTGCAAGCTTGGATGTCTGGTGGTTTAATGGATAATGGCTCGAAATTGTTAATAGTAAAGTCGAGTTCTAATTCGCGTTGGGTTCGTTATATTACCTTGTGCGTAAATACCCTTCGGAAAGTTATAATCCACCCCCTTCCCGTTATGAGTTAATTAGTAAGACTTGTATCACTAAACCATTATTAGCTCAAAATAAATTTCTACAATCTAAAAATATTTTCTGGCTTTAAATAACCTACAAAAGGTTGATAATCCGTAGAAAACGAATCAATCAATTGGAATAGAAATTAAGACCTCCTAAAACCTTGTAGCCATTTTAACCTCAGAGCTAAACTGTATGCACATTGAGGACTTTTGAAGCATGGGGCATAACTCGAGTATTCACAGTAATGCACCTTTTCCCAAGAACATTCGAATGGACTAACATTCGTTTACTGATAATGTTATTGCTCCGACTATGTTACTATAAGATGTTTAAATATTTGGCATACTTTCCACATCTCGTTACCAATACAGTCTGTGACTGCTAATACTTGTAAATTTACAATACTGGAAGGTACAAAATTTATACTAATTAGTAGTACCCGTGAAAATTTCGAGAGTTTTCCTATTAAAATTTCATGATGAATCATAATTCTTAAGTTCCTTGCGAGTCCCACGACTATAAAATATCCGTGAAATAACTTTAACAAAATATTGCAGTAACAAACATAACTCAAAATACAAGTCATTATTTAAAGAAGTAAGAGGGTACAAATAAAAAGATTAAAATATGATAAGATTTTCCGTTTAAAATATGATAAGATTTTCCGTTTCAATAAAGCAGACGTTAAACGCATGAGAATATTATCGCCTCCTCCTTTTCATGTATGCATTCATGTTTTCAGTTTCTTTTTCGTACGCCTTTCCTCGCAAGCAAAACGAAATGGTCCATTATTTATCTGAGCTAATAGCAAGTTGTAACGCATGTGTTATCTAACTTACCAACGGAGGAACAAACAGAATTATATGATAATGTGATTGAGAAAACTGTTTTTGCAGGAACGAACCCGTCAAGTACCAACCCACTTTAAGAAGAAATCTTAAAAGCTTACCTTTCTTTCTAAAAAGAATACACAGGCTGAAAGAAATTCAATGATATTAACCTATGTGCTTTATTCAATTATGAAAAACTTGGTTTATTTTCTTAGTCTTCTAAAAACCATCAACGGCACATCCTTGTTTCTTTTGCTTCCAAACCTCCTTGTTTTGTAGTACGTGGCCCCTTTTTTATCAAACTCAAATAAAAATGATTTTCTAGATACTCTCTGAAGGAAAACGATATGTAGCAATCTCGGTCAGTGCCAAGTAAACGTCAGATTCGCATCGGGTTAAATCTGCTGGCATATTGTGTACGCCAAACATTCCCAGATATCGCCCAATTTCCTCCAATTTTTTCCTCTTCTTTTTATGTCTTTATTAGTTTGCTCTTTCTCCAAAAGATTGGCAGAATACAAAAGAGTGTCTTAAGAATTAAAGCCGTCTAACAAATAATTGACTCAACTTTCAGCCTTGACCATTTCTGTTCTATAAATACTTGTTTCCGAAATTTTACATTTACTGTCATAATTTTTGTGCTCCGAAAGGAAAATTGAATTCGTAAACGAAGCTTTTAATAAACCTGATAATTACAGTTAATTTTAATATTTAGAAGACAGAAGTAATATTTCGCAAGTTTATTAAGTAAGGCAGTTATGATTTTCTCACCGGTAATCAGTGATCAGTTCATTTTATTTTAAATGCTGATTTTTAATGGCAGCAGACTCTTCTCACTTGGAAAACTGACCCAACACAATCTTCCTATACCAAATGTAACCTTGTGCCGTACCAAATCAAATTTGATAAATATCATGAAGTTGATAATTTAATATTTAGTCTTGGTAAGTGCATTTACATGGGTCTACTAACTGGTAGTGATTCTCCCTTGGATTCAGCGGCCAATGATCAAGAGCAGGCCAAAGCCAAGATTTTGAATTTTGTTTTTTTAAAGCATTTAAATGATTGGTACAAATAAATCCTTTTCCTCCTTCTGACAGGCGAAACTAAACTTTTAAATATTTATAAATGCTTTTTCGCAACCACTAAAATAATTTAACAAAGTCAGTACGTCGATTTTAATAACTATTTGGAAGTCCTTGATATTGTGTTAGTGGCAAACAGAAATCTGCATTTTTAACAGCAATAAAGAGAAGCACATTATCGTCCATTTTTAGTGCATATTCAATATACGAAGGTCGGCTGCAAAGTTCATAGGCTGACCAAGATATGCAGACACACTAGTTGGTAGACACAAAGGCATGCATGTGTACGAAAATACAACTGGTCGGCTCGCTGTTGTATTCGGATGCACTTGCATATGAACTTTTCAGCCGAACATTCTATCTATCTATCTATCTATCTATCTATCTATCGATAGATAGATAGATAGATAGATAGATAGATAGACAGATAATATATATATTGTTAATCGTGTTTTATTTCAATATTACCACTTTACGGTATACTTTTTTGTTTTCATATTGTTTTAACACGTCCGTTTTATCATTTAATTATATATATATATATATATATAGTGTGTGTGTGTGTGTGTGTGAGAGAGAGAGCATTATAAAATATTGTATATTTTCTTGCATCACCCGTTACTTTGATTTTCACGATTCAATGACAGCGAATTCATTCTTCATTGAGCTTTGACCAAACCTATTAAATATGTAAATATAAAAGAATCGTAAAAGAACCTGTGATTGTATGCAATTTCGTGTGCCAATAAGATTGAGCTCGATCCTGTTGTTTTTAAAAAAAAAAAAAGTGATGCTGAACACGTAAATATTCATCATCTCATAAAGGTGTCTGGGAATAGACGTATTTAATATGCTCTTCACACAAAGTACTCTAAAAATAAGAGCGACCTTGTGTAGCAAATATCTTTTTTCTATAATGCTTTCACTATAAACACGTTAAATTTGATAACACAAATTCCTTTAGGCTTACAGTAAGAATTAGCGCAATGTTCAATACGCCGAAATATTCATTGACAGTATTGAGCAACTGGAAAGGTTTCAGTAACAACGAGAAACTACTCACAATGCTTCGGATAAACTATTCTAATCAATATTACTCATTTCTTCTTTCTGATCAATATCACTGCAAAAGAAAAAGACAACGCAAGAACCAGTAAGTCGTTAATTTCTGTCTGAATTTCTAGGATGTGGAGTTATCATTTATTAACATTATTTACATGCAGACTATTGTTCTCATCTTTGTTATGACAACGTTTCAGTCATTGTGCCCTGCGGCTTTCATCAGATATATATCAATCCGGATAACCTACAGGGAATTTCAAACTGAAAACTTTATTAGGTAGGTAGATAGGTCTACTTCCACTGCCCATCTCTAGAGATATGTCGTCTAGTTCTTATTTTAGTACTGCCCAGTTATTGCTCACTCAGTTTCCATCTAGTCCAAGTACACTGCTCAGTGATTGAATTCACAATTACTATGTCACCAACAACAAAAATGAGGACCATAGTCCGCATGTAAATAGTGTAAAGAACAGTAAATCGCTGTTTAGATTACTATTTCGGGATGTTTTAGTACTACTAAGTGACAAGAAATTGAATAGCAGTTGGTTGCTTCTTCCTTTTCATGATATTACGCTTCTTAATTACTTTCTGCTCTTAGATTCAAGGTTATTTAGCGAACAGGAAGGAAAGCATTTACGTGTATTCCCCAAATGCCAGCATATTTATGCCAAATCAAAACCAATTATTTTTTGACGATACAGTTTCTTTTTTTTTTCTTCACCTTTTAGCTTCACATTTTTAAATCATTTTTATCTTTCTATTTTACTGATTTTTACAAAGACATTACTGACAATAAAAAAGAGAGAACAGAACATTTTGGGAAACATAAGGAAAAAAGGCTTGGAAAATTCAACACTCACGAGATACATCGAAGATATGAGAAGCAGAAAAACGCAGCGGGTAAAATACTTGACAAGATTCTACAGATGGACGGAGGGACAACTACCACGAAAATAAAGAGGAATCAAAAAAGAAATTAATACTGAGAGCCACAAAAAAAGGAAGCTATGGCGATCACCCACTTTCTAAAACTTCTCTCCCACATACGCACGCGCACACGCACACACGCACACACACACACAAACATATACATATTATGTAAAAATGACGGATTAAAAATAAATCACTTAATTCTTTCGAAATATTACTGATACTTACTGAAAAATGGACAGAGCCTATTACGAAAAGGTCCGTTCATAAAACTCTGAAGTTGGAGTGCTGAATATAACATCAATTAGCTAAGTGACAAATTTCATGTTTATTAATCTTATACATATATATGTGTGTGTGTGTGTATGTGTGTGTGTGTGTGTGTGTGTGTGTGTGTGTGTGTAACGGACTACCCGAACATTCAAGAAATTAGATTGTAAAAGAAATTATTCTAATACCTAGTTTTTACAGTTTCATTCAAAACAGACCCCCTTGGAATTCGTTTGAGCAGGTAACATAGTTATGGGTGAGTGCTTACCCATGATCTCACATAGGAACTCATCCCTGTTAATCATCGTAACATATCAGTGATGAGATATTCTGTTACGATATTTGATGATGAGGCAGAGCGCGGAGTGAAATTTTCTTCATGTCTTTTTTCCATGGACGATAACCGAAGCTGGTACTGAAATTTGACTGGTAACAGGCAACAGAAAATGTGATATAGAAGGTGCATAGAAATAGCAAAAGATGCTTTTTCAGAAATTGAACAAAGTATTAAGGGATAAAAAAAAAAGTCATTAGAAAGAAGAATGTGCTAGATTGCCATATAATGCTTAATCTCCTAAATCAAAGTGAATAAATAGGCTTGAGGCGATATAGATGTGGTTCTATCTACGAATCTTTAAAATACCATGCAGAGATTAAGTGAGAAACGAGAAAAATTTAAAAATAA